GGGCAATCTACGCTGCAGTCATACTGCCTTGGAAACCCAAGGTGGGGTCGCTATGAGTCAGATCCAACTCAACAGCAGTGAGTTTGATTTGGTTCTTAGTTTTTATGACCTAACATATGGTCTGTCATGGAGAATGTTCCATGTGCCCTGGAAAAGAATGTGTATTATGTTGTTCTTGGGTGAAGGGCTCTGTAGATGTCTATAAGGTCAAGTTGGTGAATTGTATTGTTTAGCTCTTCTGGGTCTTGGTTTAGTGTCTTTCCAGTTTTATTATTCATTGAAAGTGGTGTACAAGGTCTTCTGTTAAGACTGTGCAGTCATCTGTTTGTCTTTTCAATTCTGTTAAAGTCTGTTTTCTGTATTTTGGGGCTCTTTCATTGCAACCATAGATATTTATTGTGGTTATATCTTCTTGTTCGATTGATCCTTTAATCATTATATAATGTCCTTCCTTGTCTCTTATGGTGGTTTTTGTCTTAAAGTCAACTTGACCAGAAATTAATATTGTCACTCCTGCTCTTTTTTGGTTGCCATTTCCTTGAATATCTTTTTCAAACCTTTGATTTTTTTAGTCTATTTTTGTCTTTGTCTCTAAGGTGTATCTCTTGTAGATAATATACTGATGGGTTATGTTTTCTTATCTGTTCAGCAGATCTCCATCTCTTGAGTGGTGCATTTAATCCATTGACACTCAGTGTAATTATTGACAAGTATGGATTTGTTGCTGTCATTTTCTTGTTTTTCCTAGTCTTCTTGGTTTCTTTGTTCCATATAATTTTCTGTGCTGAGCTCATTATGTTTATGAATTGTGTTGTCATTTCCTTTGTTGCTATTGTTTTAGTATTTGCTAAATATTGGTGTTTATTGTGATGTGAAGGTTTATCATTTTTCTTTGAGGTTACCTTGTGATTTATAATTTTGTTCCCACCTTTAGAGCAGTCCATTCTGTCTTGCAACTCTCTTGACTTCCTCAGCATTTAGAAGTTCCTTAACTACACAGTTTTTTCCCTCTTTTTTGGTGTAGTTGTCCTCATTTTCCAATTGATGTCTCTGGTTCCTTGTTTATAATCTTGTAAGCTTATTTTAGTTTGGATACTTCCATAACTGGATTGTTTTCTGGGTTATGTCAGCCTGTGTGTTAATGGTCAGTTGTTATTTGCTATTATTGGTTCTTTGTTTGAAGGACTCTCTTTAGAATCTCTTACAAAGTGGGTCTAGTTTTAACAAATTCCCTTAATTTCTGCTTATCTGGAAATCTCCTAATTTCACTGTCATGTTTGAGGGCCAGTTTTGCTGGGTATATAATTCTTGCTTGGAAAATTTTCTATTTCAGGGTTTTATATATATCATCTCATTGCCTTCTTGCTTGCATGGTTTCTGCTGAGAAATCAGAGCTTAGTCTTATTGGTTGCTCTTTGTATGTAACTTTTTATTTTTCCCATGCTGTTTTCAGGATTCTTTGTTTTTGGTTTTGGTGAGTTTGATGATGATATGTCTTGGTGATTTTCTTTTAGGATCTGTATTATTTGGAGTTCATTGGACTTCCTGAATGGATTTATTCTCATCTTTCATCATATCAGGGAAGTTCTCTTCCAACAAATCTTGCACAGTTTTCTCAGTGGTTGTATTAGTCTTTTCTTGTTCTAGAATTCCAATTACATGTAGGTTATTCCTTGTGATGGTATCCCATAAGAACCTTAGACTTGCTTTATTTTGTTTTGATCTTTTTTCTGATTGATCCCTTTCCAAAGAAGTGTTCAGGTATTTGTCTTCCATCTCATTAATTCCGTCTTCCATTGATTATATTCTACTTCTTATACCTTTCAATGTGTTATCTATTTCTGAAAATTTTAGTATTAAATTTCTGGATTTCTGTGTGTAGATTTTGTATCATTTCTAATTTTTTATTTTGTCATTTTGTTCCTGCAGTTTCTTGAGAAATTGCTCTGGGGTTTTATCTGTATTTTCCTTATTTTTGTCAGTGTTTTCCTTGATCTATCTCTCAATCCATTGAGAATACCTAATTATAATTCTTTTAAATTCCTTATCAGGGAGTTCCAATGCTGCTTCTTCCCTAGGAATGTGTTCTTGGTCTTTATCCTACATCCTTCTTTCTGCCTCTTTATTTTGCTTCTTTGTGTGGACAATGATGGTCTGTTGTCTCTGAGACATTGTGATGTTGTATTTTTATCTAGTTGGTGATTGTATGTTGGAGTGATTCACCCAAGATTGTAGGTTTTGTTTTGTTTTTTTTTTTTTTCCCTTCTGATTTATCTGAGTAAGCAGAGTACTGTGCTCCTCTATTTGCTAGTTGGCAGCACTTATATACTTTCCACCTGTCTCCTGGTGGGTGTGATATAGAATGAGAGTGGTTGCACAGGTCTCTGTTTAATGTGAAGAGCAGTTTAGGGTGAGATAGGCTCTTATGAGTGGTCATCTATTGTTAGCCAGTTGGTATAGAAGGAAGTGAAGACTTTCACTCAGCAAATGGACCTGCAGGAGGCATGGGGGTGGTTGGGTCATATGGGCACAGTTGCTGTCTCCCACTCAGTTAGACAAAAACAACAATCAAAAACCATCAAAAAAAGTAAAAGCAAGAGGACAAAAACACACACACACATACTGCATAAACACACAGGATCACCAAAAGAGAAAAAAGAATGAAACAGAATAAGAAAAATAAAAAAGAGGAAAGACAATAAAGGAGAGAAAATATTTAAAGAAATGCTTTAAAAAGCCAAAATAAATATTTACAGGAACAGGAGGGTGGGGGAAAGGGGGAACACTGCAGTATCTGAGAAGGGGGTAGTAAGAGAAAAGACATAGAGTAGGAGAATAATAAAGAAAAAAATGGAAAAATGCAGAAAGAAAAACAAAGAATGGGGAGAATCACAAGAAAGAAAACATGGGAACCAGGAAAAGGGGAAAGAGAAAAATCCAAACACTAGAGCCTGGGAAGGGAAGAAGAAAGAATAGTAATAAAAAGGATGATAAAAGAAAAAATCATAATGATAATTTGAAAACAGACAAAAACTAAAAAAAGAAAAAAGAAAAATCTGAGCAGGGCAGGGCAGGGCACCTAGGATCTGTCAGAGCACACAGACTTAAATGGAATTCCTACTGGCCAGAAGATGGGTAAGAGTGAAGAGACGGCCGCACATCTGTTCACCAAGAGAGTATGGGGTATAAGAGTAACAAGGGGAATGTCACACCTTTCCAATCCTCAGTGTCTGGTATGTCCTTGTGGTTCCTGACAAGTGAAGCCTATTCTGAGGCCCCTGGAATCTGAGAGAACGCTGTTGCTTTAAATATCCAAAATGGTTGAAATGCTTGTAAATGTTAAAAATGGCTGCACCCTCTGGACAGTCAAAAGTCCACAGGTCAGACCATCTTCCTCTTCTCTGCTTCCCCTTGTATTCACCATCCACCAGTGCAGTCCTATGTGCAGACCCTGGCTAGCAGGGCTGATTTTGGGGTTAATTCTTAGGTCCTAATGTCACTTAGCAATGTCCAAGCTGTCCATGCCATCAGGATGGACAGTCCATAGCTCCGTATGTCTCCTTTTTTGGTGTTTTCATGCAGGTTTTTCCACTAGTTGGAGTTTAGTCCACTTCTGTATCCTTTCTTTCAAAGCTCAGGGTTCCAGGATTATTTTCTGTATCTGTGTTAATTGGTTCCTTTTTTCTTTGTCGAAGAGGGTCTGTGTAGTTTGTCTGCGTATTTCACCACCTTACTGGAACTTCTAAATGTAGAGTTTTTCAGAGAAGGAAACCTGTCCTAAAAGAACTCTCAGAATGATAATGTAACAACTAGGAACTGTTGAAAGCCACATGCAAACCTCTTATTTAAAACCAGATATTATAATATGTTTGTCCAAAGCTAAATATTCTAGTCTTCCATGATACACATTGATTTAAAGACATGCACAATGAAATAAACCTAATGAAGCTTCTGCAAGGAATAGTTAATATTTTCTGTTTTACAATTAAATCTTACTTGTTTTCACTGAGGTTTACCATTCATTAGATAATAGTCATTGTTAGTCATAGTTTACATTTAAAATTTTTCTTTCTTAAATGTACATTGAAAGCATTCTTTTTTTCCACTAGTCTCTGCCAATATGATTTGAAATTCAAATTCAGAAAAATTTCTGAGTCTCTTTCTTCCATGGACTCATTAAGTAAGTATAGTAACAGCTATCATGCATTGAGCTATTAAGTGTCTTCCTTGTGGCAGTATTTAACCAGTGTAAGCTGATGAAATTCTCACAACTAGAGAACTGAATACTATCACCTCTGTTCTAAACATTAGAACTCTTAGAGAGAGCCACCATGATGCAGCCACACAGCTATCTGAGGAGGAAGGCCATGTGCTTCTCACTCAGCCATGCTATGTCAAGCTAAAACAATTCCGAGCTCAGTGATGTTTTCTCTTGTTTTGTTCCCCATATTGAATTCTAGATACTTTGCATATATGTCTTAGGGGAAAAAAAAAAAAAAAACTCATAAGCAAACCCCCCAACAAATCTTGTAATAACTTCATTTAAGCTTTTTGCTACTAATTCCTAAAATAAAGAATGGTCATAGCTCTCATTATCAGAACTGTGAAAGGAATAGGGAGGCTTTTAGTACCCCGCCCACACACACACTCACACACACATACTTTACTAGGACCTAGTTAAGGTACAGGGAAATCAAATGAATATTTTAATGTGGAGGAGTCTATGGGCTAATCACCATCCTATAGGAAATGTATCTCCACATGAATTTCCCCAACAAATATCAATCAAAAGATAAATTTCAAGATGATTACCTTCTCAAATCCCTGTATTTTGAGAACTAAAGAGTTCTATTATCTTTCAGATCATATAGGAGGGTCCATCTGCAATGACCTGGATATTTTCTTTGTTTTCTAAAACCTTCACAGTCTGTACACCTGCCCCTGTTTTCTGTAATAGGCCACCTCCTTAACTTTCTCTTCCTTTCCCCTTTCTCCTCCAGGACTGCCCACCAGAAGCAGGGGATTTCCGAGCTCAGCAGTGCTCTGCTCACAATGATGTCAAACATCATGGCCAGTTTTATGAATGGCTTCCTGTCTCCAATGATCCTGACAACCCATGTTCACTCAAGTGCCAGGCCAAAGGAACAGCGCTAGTTGTTGAACTAGCTCCTAAAGTTTTAGATGGCACTCGTTGCTACACAGAGTCATTGGATATGTGCATCAGTGGTTTATGCCAAGTAAGTGCTGACATTTTTTCATTTGTTTTAGTCCCTTTGTATAAATAGTTTTGCAACTACTTACAACTCAGTAACTCAATGTTATTCTTCTTAAGAGTTTATAAATAACTGGTAACAAATTTGAAAATTGACATTTCTTTTCCATGAAAAAAGTTGTATTTTGTGTTAGGGAAAAACTGCCTAGTGTTTTTTTTTTGTTGTTGTTGTTGTTTTTATTTGTTCCTTTCCTTTACTGTCATGTAAATATGGAAAAATAAAGATTCTTGAATAGTATACTTTACTTTTCTACTATACTGTGAAATTACCTAGCTTGGCTGTCCCTGGTTTTTTTTTGTTTTGTTTTGTTTTTTTTGTTTTAAAGCATAAGATAACCAGCCTATTTTTTAAAGCAAGCAATTAATTACTGTATTTCCTTGAGTGTTATACCCATTGCCGTGGAGTCAACTCCAATTCATACCAACTGTATAGGGCAGAATAGAACTGCTTCATAAGCTTTCCAAGGCTGTAATCTGTATGCAAGCAGTCTGTCTTATCTTTCTCCTACACAGCAGCCTGTAAGTTTGGACCACTGTCCTTTTGGTTAGCAGCCAAGCACTTAACCATGTGCCACAGGGTTTCTTATGTATGCTATCTTTAACTATATACTTCTCTATTTTATAAACTAGATATTTTGAGAATCTTTGTCTCTCTCGAAAATATATTGGTTGGAATCTTTATCTTTTGAGAATGTCTAATATCCCCACTAACAATGTAAGAATAAATGTCAAATATGTCTCAATAATTTGTTACAAGTTTCCTATGTTTATTTAAAACTTAAATTTATATTCAGATGTAAAAGGAAAAACTCTAAGGTATCACACAAGATGTGTGATATCAGGCAATCTTTTATGTGTGTGAGAGAAAGGCAGACATACTGATGTCTTCAAGACTTCAAGAAGTTTCAAGTGAGACACGAAAATTATGGCATGTCCACGTAATTCTCAAGCAGGAGGCTAGAGATGATGGATGCATATCTAATTCTCCCTTTATATATATGTATTTGAGTATAAATCTTAAGATAGATTGTTATAATTTTGAAGTTGACCTTAGAGGTTATCTGAACAACATCCTAGACAACATTATTTGTGATGGTTGGTGTTTGCTTCCTCCTCTAGGACTCTCAGTAGTGTTAAAGTGGAACTATGGAATTTCAAAAGTTTTGTGAATAATTGAGAATTGTAAAACAAGTAGATTTAGAAAAAGAACTGTGTTACAGGGAAAAGTAAGTAAAATAATAATTCCTCATGTTGTATACACAGTAAGAGTAAAGCATGGCAGATTTCCATTTTGTACATGAAAAATCTGAGGACTAGTAAAGTTGCATGATTTTCTGAAAGTAATATTGTTGGTCTTAGAAGAAATGAAACTAAATGCCAGGTCTCCTGAAAACTAGTCCAAAGTTGTTTCTACTATGCTACACTGCTGAATGAACCAAAATAAACAAGACAGGTCAGCAAATTAGGTTTCATTTGTTTCAGTTCCATATGAGTTCAACGTGGCATGTTTTTTCCTTAGACTAATCCTGCCAGCTGGCCTCCTGTGCCTTGGCAACTAAACGGGAATCCTATCTCAGCAACTAAAGAATAAATTCTTTATGTAGTAAATAGAGAGTGATAGTGATGGACTTTTGGCTTCAAGTATACGCGTACTTTCTTAATTTAGATTCTTATATGTGTGACTTGTTCGATTTGGGGGCAAGTGTAAATCATAAAATGCTTGAAATAATGTAACTTATAAGTAGAAATCATGAGTTGTTAATTCTTTCATTTATTTCCCTTGTAAGAGGCAATAATATGGCACAGGAGGTGGAGGAACACAGAATGTTGAAACGCTAACAAGTAGTTTAGTTTGGCTAAAGATCAGGGTTCCCTCCACTCCCTCCTGCATACGTAGCAAGAAAAGAGAGGTTGTTTGGGAAAGAATCATAGAGGCTTGAATGGCACATAGAATTGTGGTAAACAGTGGATAGCCAAAAAGGAGTTTTAGTGGAGAAAAGTCATGCTCAGAGCTCTAATTAGAAAGATGATTATAGATGCAGTTTTAAGAAGCTTGACATGAAAGAAGGGACAGGAGTCTAGGAGACCAGCTTATAAGGAGGCTCTTGCAGTAGCTGGAGTGAAACCAGGTATGAGCCTGGGCCAGTGAATTGCAGCAGAAACAGAAAAGAAATTGAATCTGAAACCAGAATGGATTTTTCAGTTTGATTATAAATAGGGCAAAGGATCCACCACCTGTTTGACATACTGTGATGGCTTGCATGTTGCTGGGATGCTGGAAGATATGACACCAGTATTTCAAATGCCAGCAGAGTCACCCATGGTGGACAGTTTCAGCTAACAGACTAAGACAGATTAGGAAGGAGAAGAGATGGTCCACTTCTGAAAAAATTTAGCCACTGAAATCTTTATGAATAGCAGTGAAACATTGTCAAATGGGGTGCCAGAAGATGAGCCCCTCAGATTGGAAAGGGCTCAAGCATAATGACAATTGTGAGGGGGACAGGACCTGTTTATGTTGTACATGAGGTCACTATGAATTTAAACCAACTCGATAGCACCAAACAACAAATAACAAGGGCAAAGTATTGTTAACCGTCATTGAGCTGGACCCTGGCTCATGGCCACCCAGGACCTTTGTGATCCATGAAGTTTTCTTCAGCCAATTTTCACAAGTAGGTTGCCAGCCCTTTATTCCTAGTTGTTCTTAGTTTGAAAGCTCCTCTGAAACCTGTTCAGCATCATAGTAACATGAAAGCCCCCATTGATGGACAGGTGGTGGCTGAGCATGAGGTATATTGGACTGGGTCTCCCACATGCAAGGCAAGAATTCTACCAGTGGGCTCAGGGGATCAAAACCTGAAAGTTAATATGACTGGGAACGGGTATAACTTTGGATCCTTACTACCTCCTATATTCCATCTTTTCATGATTAAAACTTACTTGATCAAGGTCAAAGACTATAGCCTTCAGTATGGATTACATCTCAACATAAAGAAAACAAAAATACTCACAACTGGACCAATAAGAAAAATCATGATAAGGAGAAAAATTGAAGTTGTCAAGGATTTCATTTTACTTGGATCCATAACCTACACCCATGGAAGCAGCAGTCAAAAAATCAAATGAAGGGTTCCGGCAAGATGGTGGACTAGGCAGAAGGACTGCATGGACCCTCTTCAACAAAGAAAAGGGAAACCAATTAACACAGACACAAAAGATAATCTTGGACCCCTGAGCTTTGAAGGGAAGGATACAAAAATGGACTAAACCCCAACTAGCAGAAGAATTTGAGTGAAAATACCTAAAAAGGAGACACATGGAGCTGCAGTCT